GTATTACAAATCAACTACCAAATGTATTCTCAAATCCTAAATGAGTAATTAAAATACATGTCCCTATTGAGAATGCTCTTATTAGAATTGATATCCTAAAAGAACAATTTATAAATGTTATAGCAAATAAATCTAAAGCATGCCTAAAGTGTGGAAGATCAATCGGTTTTAAAAGCAAAAATTTTCAAAGAAAGGGCAAATAATTAAAATAAAGGATTCAAATATTCATAAAATGGTCCAAGATATTTCGATGATAGGATTTTGGAAGAAGTCCAAATGCTTGAGAAAAATCAAGATACTTTGATAAATTATGTCAATACATGGAGAAAATAGGACCGAAAAGAAATATTTATTGATAAGATTTTTTCATATAATATTTTAATTGATATCTTGAATGAAAATAAGGATCCCGAGCTTAAATTTATTGAAAAATATTGACATAAAGATGGTTGATGTAAGTGAAAAGAGCAATCCAAACAGAATTATGTTCTTTCACAAATGAGTAGTTTTTGAACTTGTAGTCAAAACATCTAAAGATGTTAAGCCAATGGAATACAAATAAGTATTTTTGTGAAAACAAAATAAGAAATATGAGATTATGATATACAAAGCAAGACTTGTAATACAAGAGTTTTTGCAAGGACCTTACATTGACTATGAAGATATATATTCTCTTGTAATAGATGTAATTATATTTTGTTATCTTGTTAGGCTCGTAAAATATGTGAAAAACTTCATATGAATATATTTAATGGCTATGATCACGGTTTATTTGTTTAGTTGAAAGTGATATCTATATGAAAGTCCTACAAGGACTTAAGATGTCTAAAGCATAAAATACATATTCTCAATAAATAAATTCAATTAAATTATAGAGATCTTTTTCGAAATTATTTTAGTAGCAATTTTATTATTTTAGTTTTCGAAATTCAATTTATGCTATACTTTTTATATTTATTTTTTATTTTTCAATATCTATTCTTTATTACTAACATATGTGCATGTGATATAATTGTTTCAATAAATATTTATTGAAATAAGATTATAAAAATAATCATATTTATTCATGTATTTTTATAAAAAAATTCGAAAAAAGGTTTGTGACGGTTGTTATATATATTGATGATTTAAATATTATTGAAACTCCTAAAGAGAATGCAATAAGTTATCTAAAGAGAGAATTTGATGTGAATACCTTAGAAAAATAAAATGTTATCTCGACTTACAGTTCAAGCACTTAGAGAATGAAAATTTTATTCATCAATCAATTTATATAGAAAAAGTTCTACAATGATTCTATATAAAGCTCATCTATTGACTAGCCTAATGATTGTTCGTTTACTTGATATCCAAAAAGATCATTTTTTGCCTCGAGAATATAACTTAAAACTACTTGATCAAGAAGTATCATATCTTAATGCTATTGTCGCATTACTCTATCTTACCGATAATACTTAGTCCGATATAGCATTTTCTATAAATTTATCGACAAGATATAGTTCTGTTCTAACACAAATATATTAGAATGGAATTAAATATATACTATGTTATCTATGAGGAATAATTGATATGAACTTATATTATTATAATACATCAAAAACAGGATTAATTGGTTATGCGGATGCATATTATTTATCCGATTCACATAAAGTTGGCTCACAAAGTGTTTATGTATTTACATATGGAAATACGGTTATATCATGACGTTCTATGAAGCAAACTATAGCTATCATATTTTTAAATCATTTAGAAATACTAGCAATTCATAAGACAAGTCGAGAATGTATTTGATTAAAATCAATAACCCATCATATTCGAGAGATATACGGTTTATCTACCAACAAAAAATTTTTAACAATATTTTATAAAGATAATGTTGCTTGCATAATTCAATTAAAAGAGGAATGTATTAAAGTGATAATATGACGGACTTATTCACTAAAGCATTACATATCACAACTTTTGAGAAAATCGTTCATAAAATTGAGATGTATCGTTTTAAAGATCTTAAATAATGTTTTCAACAAGGAAGCTCAACATTGAGATCAATGTGTACAAGGAATTTTTCTACTTTTTTTCTTCACTTGGATTTTTTGCCGCTGGGTTTTTTTCAAGTAAGGTTTTAACGAGGCACGTTCCTTGTACGATGAAAATTGAAAAGGAGTGTTATGAAATAATGAATATTCATATACCTTTCATATTCTCACTACTCATGATTCTTAATGTCATTCAATTCACCATTCAATATAAAAATTGAAAGGGTGATGCAATTGATTCAATAATTTATGTATTTTTAATGGTTCATTGTCCTTTCAATTTCTTATCCTAATATTGAAGCCTATAAATAAGTTTGATTGTTCATTAGTTTGTGTACAAGCATTTTGTAGAGATTGAAAGATTATTTGGATTTGTAATCTTTCGTATTCACTTTATCTTATAATAAAATCATCTTCCTATCATCATTCTCTTCAATTTTACTATTGTTATCATTTTTTTTATAACAATATTTTTTTTTTTTATTGATAATTGGGTTGGGAAATAATGGAATGGGGATGATTTGGTCTTTTTCTCTCTTTTTTTAATCTCATGAATTATTTTATTGTTAAAATCAATTAAATTTTTTTTTCAGTTCAAATAGAAAAACTATTTTTTTGAGACTCATGATGTCGCTTGTCAATCAATGATAGGTTTCTCTCAATGGCATCATAATGAAGGATTTGAATTTAAAAAATTTTAAAAAATAAAGGATTTTAATCAAGTTGAAAAGTTATAAAGAGTTTCGGTAAAAGAAAAATTCGAATGATATAGAATCCAAATGTGGGATAAACCCATTAAAAATATAATATTTTTAATATAACATATCAATTAATGATATCTTCAATCAATGTGACATATATAATACCAAAATTTATTTTTTTATTTATTCATTGGAGTTCATGAGTTTTTGCACTACTCAACTACTCAGTAACAATAGTGTTATATGTTACATAATCACTAAAGAAATTTAAAATAACTAAAACTTGAAATTTAGGTCATTATAAAAATTAACTGAATATATAATTATTAGACTAAACCTATTTCTGTGATGTGAGAATTTTTTTCAAGACAAACAGAGCATCATGCAGCATGGTGATTTAAAAGTCAAAAATTTGTAATTGCATTGAATTCATTGGTTGATGCAGCACATTGCGTATTATTATTGACTAATAAAATCTATGTGATGCAATTGAATCCACGTGAACAAAATCCATCAAATAAATTTTGGTGACTTTTTGATACACATCATCTCACTTAATTATAATGCAAGCTCACCCACAAATAACAGAAAAGGACGACATGGTAATGTGAGGTAAAGTGGCCAGATACATAGAGCCGAGGAATTAAATCTATTTATTTTACCTACCAAACCGAAAATTTTTTGTCGCTATCCCACATCGTCGAACTCATGGGAAAAAAAAAGTATATTTAAAAAGGTTTGAATTGAAGATAAAAAATGTGAAATATGTTAGTTTAAGGAGAATTAAAAAAAAAAAAACACTAATTGTATGAAAATCACTTAAAAACATCTTTTTCAAAAAAGTTTCCACCTTGTCTTCTAACTTAAAAATTGTCATTATTCTAACTACTTTTTCCCCAATTATTTTCTAATGCTATTAACAAATTCATTAAGTAAAATATTAAGGTCTCTCTAATCACGCTTATATTTTTGTTGGACATTTAGAGCCCAAACTATACAAGATAGGAATTTTTCAGATTTAAAAGCTCCTTATTAATTATATCAATTATTTTTGGTCGATCTAGTCTATTAGTGAATTTATTAGGTTCAAAAACTAAGGTCTCTATCCGCTCTATTTCAAATATCTCTATATATAATTTTTATTTTTATTATGACCATTAACTAAATTTTTTAAAAATGATTGTGTTGAAAATAATTTATAATTTGGTCACTTCTTACAAACTAAGGTTTTTCTCCGTCCTATAGACCGCCTTTTATGTTGTAAAAAATTCAAGTGCCCTTAGCAGCATTGTTCAAAATATAATTAGGATAATGCTAGAAACCTTGATGTTTTATTAAAATTGTTTAACTAAATGATCTGAAAGCATATACCCAGTGATTAATTAATTATCCTATAATTTTATTATTATATTATTAAACGTGATAGGATTCACATTTTATTATTTGAAAATCTTTCTCTAACACTATTCTTTCCTACAATATCTCCAATTAAAAATAAAATATTTTTAATATAATATATCAATTAATGATATTTCAATCCATGTGACATGATAATTTCCTTAAGACAAACAGAGCACCATGCAGGATACTAATTTAAAATTCAAAATTCCTAGTTGCATTGAACTCATTGGTTGATGCAGCACATTGTTTATTATTATTGACCAATCAAATAAATCCATGTTATGCAATTGAATCCACGTGAACCAAATCCAGCTAATAAATTTTTGTGACTTTTTAATACGCTTCATCTGGCCGAACTATAATCCAAACTTACCTACAAATAACAGAAAAGGACGGCATGGTAATGGTGAAAAGTCGCCAGACATATAGAGTAGAGGAATTAAATCTATTTATTTTACCTACAAAACCGAAAAATAACTATTGAAGTAGCGGAAACTGAAGTGCTGGCGCTTAATTATAGTCGAGGTGGCCAAGTTGGCACCTTGTTTGGTTGGGTTGGGTCTAAACTTAACGTATCATGTAATGAAATTGATGAAAGACTTGGTGACTTCTATTAATGGAAGTGGCCTATCTGGCAGCTGCTTTTGTCCCTTTCTGCCATCTGAACTCAACTCAGAGAAGGAGCAGAAGATAGGATTACGTTATGGCAGCTGGCAAAAGACCCAGTATATGCTCCTTCTGTTTAACGAAACTCTAACCGGTAATTGTGTACTCCTCTGTCTTTGTAAGAGATTTTTAGATTCAAACTAAGAATAAAACCCGACTGTTAAAAAATTGGAGAAGAAGAAAATGGAAGAAAGATTTATGATTGTGAAATTAATCTTGACTCAGGAGGTTTAACAAAACTTACTTTCCTATATTTACAAGAGGCCCAAATATCATTAATAATTCTATTGCTAATATCGCTATCTAATGAAGTTAACAATTCCTTGCTATCAATATGGCTATTCTGCTTTCCCAAACCATAGCTAACTATACCATCCTTGTCTTCAATGTCATCCATAATTGTATCACCTTCATCGCTGCTATTCCCCCTGATTGTGATCCAATTTCGATCATCCCAACCCCAACTAGGAGCCCCAGAAAGCAAGGACAAACATCTGATTCTTTCACTGGCTGAACTCTCACTACTTGAAGGGATCGAGACCAAGTTCTCCAAACTTTCTGATTCATCCAGTGATGAATTCCACAGTCCTTGATCAAGAATGCTTGTAGGAGAATTTGAACTTGAATTAGATTCTTGAACTTGCTTTACAACATGAGGATTAAAGTCTCCAACCAAAAATGGATGCTTAAGAAGTTGACTAGCGGTCCACCTCTCTTTTGGGTCCCTCCTTAAACACTTGTCCAAGAAATCCCTTGCTTCTTCCGACAGACAACAGGGGAACTCTGGCAACTGATCCGAATAACCTACCCGGTAAATGGTGGAAACTGGGTCGCTGACATTATGCCAAGGTGTACCGCCACTAACCATTTCGATAACTGTGCACCCTAAAGCCCATATATCACTAGCAAACCCCTGGTCCTCTCCACGCGCCACCTCCGGTGCCATAAACATCGGCGTGCCAGCAATCGGTCCTGCTTGTTCCACACGCTTTGCACACCCGAAATCCGCAATCTTGACACCATTTTGTCCTACTAAGATGTTGCTGCTCTTAATGTCACAATGCACCAATCCCTTCAAATGTACGTAATCTAGGCCTCGCAAAATTTGATACGTGTAATTTCCGATCAATGATTCGTCGAGCCGACCTCCATCATTAGCATGAATTGCATTTCCAAGTGTGCCGTTGGGCATGTACTCCAAGAAAAGATTGTACATTACTTTGTTGTTTTCTCTAGTAATGTCACACCCCTTGTAGCTAACAATAAAAGGAGAGGCTATAGAAGAGAGAATTTGTTGCTCCCTTTGCAAGAATTCAGATTGGGATAGCTCGACTGACTTTACGGCAAAAACATCACCGGATTGGATAGAGGTGGCGACGGAAACCGTGGCTGTGGAGCCATGGCCTATGGCATGCCCTCTAGTCCAGTCCATTTTGTAAAGCTGAAATAAAATTTGGCTTTGCTGGTTGTAGTTTGATTTTTTTTTTTTTTAAAGGGGTAACTGACTAGCTATGCCTTTTATATAGAAAAGGTGGAGGCGATATTTGAAGGGTAGTTTCATTGGTTAGTTGGGACAATCCCTTCAACAACAGAGTACAACGTGTCCAAAAACAGTTGTGGGTTGACAGCTTTGGCCGCCTAGACGGCAATGACTTGGCATGCTGGCACGTGGGCACGTGTAAGAATTTGGTATGGGGAGCGAAAGAGGGGGTAAGAGTTTACAAATTGGCAAAGAATATTTAGTGATTTGGTTTGGTTTGGTGTAAGGATAGGAGAGGTTGGATAGGGTAGAGTGGATGGATAATTCATGATTCACCAATTGGAATTGATGCTTTTATTTTGTACGGGAGTGGACTTTGAAAGTTAATTTAAAGTTTAGTAGTAGTAGTTCAAATGGTAAGGGTGAAGGGGTGGGTTGAACCACCCAAAAATGGTTGAATTTTAGAATCCTTTTGATGAGTTTTGAGGATATACCCAATTTGTGTCTCCAAGTTGAAGTCTATCAAATGGGGATGGGAGAAAGTACAATTCTATGTATGTGAGACCGAGTATTCGTCAGAGGTCAGATGCTTGATTCTAGCCGGAAATGAAACGCCGGTTTTTTTTCACTTGAAACATTAGTCAATTGGGTGGATTCCCATTGGCCATCTGAATTGAAGTGGTGTTAAATCTTCTTGGATGATGTGTATTCACATTTCGGTAATGGAACTTTCTTTATTCAGAAGTTCGACACTGTACAAAGTCAACGCCCAAAGTGCTGAAAATTAAGAACAATATTGTACATCCTCGTGGTCATTTTGTTAAAACATCTAACATTTGAATTTTGTAAAGTTTGGAGCAAGAGGGTATGATGACTCTGTTGAAAAAAGAAAAATCAATTATGAATGCTCACAATCCACTCGAACACTACATAAAAAAAATAGCTTGACCTTTAGGATTACTTCTAGAAACAAGAAAGTCCTCAAATTCTTTTTCTACCCGTGAAAAATAGTGGGCAATTTGTAAACTGAACAACAACTAATAATTTCTAAAATCAAACTTCAGCCAGGGATTTCTGTCCTTCAAGCAAAGCAATCATCATACATTTTGGAGGTACGTGGCTAGCCAGTAAGTCACCAAATGCTAACAAAAGCATCAATTTTTATTGTTATTATTATTATTATTATTGTTACGGCTAAAGCAACCTATCATTACCAAGTGTTCATGGAAAAACACTCCGATCCATTGCTTGCTTCTTTTTCTTTCTTTCCTTTTTTTCCCCTTAAAAAGCCCACTTACCACGAAATGATAATTAATTTGATTCGCCCTTCTACTTTAATCATTCAAAGATTACGGAAATAGATCGCAAAAACATGACAGAAAAAGAGAAGAAAAGAAAATATGTTGCTTCAGAAAACCCGAAAAATCAGCTAACTTGAAGTGACGTTGACATTTGCTAATAATTAATTAAATATCGGCAGGACCTAACAATTATGCTACTTGACATAAGAATGTAAGCATGGTAGAAATTCTGGTAATTAAAATTTCACAAAAAAAAAAAAAGAAAAAAGAAAAGGTTAACTAACCAAAGCTGTGTGGGAGCTCACCAGAGGGCAAAAAAGGTTAACTAACAATAAACTTTGCAACTAATATTCCAAAAAGTAAACAATTAAGACTAATTAATTAATTATTATTATTATCAAATGGGTTTAAATTGCAAGAAAGCAACAGCCATTACCAACAAATTCAGCAATATATCAGAGTTTGTCATCTCACGCCCTCTAACTGTCGATGACAAGCAGCTCATTCTTGTCAATGTCATTAGTTCTGTTAGTTGGACCAAAGCAACGGTAGCTTCTAATTAGTAGATAGATGGGATGGGATACTCGATCTTATGCGTGGCTTATAAGATATATATATCAAAACGAAGAGGCTTTTCTCACAAGCAACTCATGTTTATTATTATAGCATCTAACATTTTTTAACTTACTGTTTGTTTTTGTTTTTTTATTCTTTATTGAATAATAATGAATATATTTAAACTAATTTACAGATAATCAAAAAAAAATTAAAATGATATGCTTTAAGAATGTGTTCTTATATTTTATTTAAAAATTTTTAATAAATTATTTTGAATGATATTTCTTAAAATTCAAAAAAAAAAAATGAGGAGATCAATTTTTAGGATTGTCTATTCTTCTGTTCAATGTGGGTTTTACATAAGCCTTGCATATCTGCATATGTTTTTGTCCAACACGTGCGTTGAAATGAGAGAGCACGTTTTAATTCTATTTGCGTGGGCAGGAGAGTGCCAACGTTTCCGTGCTTTTGGTGCAATGAAACTATATTTAATTCTTCCTTTTCTTTTTCAGCATTCAATGTCCTACACTATTGCAACTGGTAGGTTCTTAAAACAAAAGGGAATATGTACATTTTACGTCACCATTTTAGCATCACAAAAGCCTTTTTTTTTTTTTCTTTTTTTAGGTGAACAGGCTTAATTAACTCTCTCTCTTTCCTTTTCTTTCATCTTTCATTTTTCTTTTTATGAATGAATTTTTTCGTCCATTAAAAGAACTAACATATCAAGAAAATTGGAAAATAGCAACGATTTTTTCCGTAGTATTATAGTAAAAATTCATTGCTATTTATCGCTAAATCAATAGCAAAAAAGATTTTTTAGCAACGATTTCCAAAAAACATCACAAAAAACCTTTTTTTTTTTAAATTAGCGACGGTTTAGTTAAAATCGTTGCTAAATCCTAAAACCTTTAGATTTTTAGCGACGACTTTGTAAAAATCGTTGTTAAAAATGTCAAAATTTGATCGAATCAACGATAGTTTTGAAATCGTTGCTAAAAACCAACATCTAACCAAAAACTAGCAAGGGATTGCTAAAAATCATTGCTAAAAAATCATCGCTAAATGTCTTTTTTTCTAGTAGTGGTATTAGGCGGAAACCTCCGTGGTTTTACCACCGAGATGCTATGACGTGGCGAGAGGAGGAGTTGGTGTCAAAATGAGAGTAGTACTAGGGCGTCCGTGATCCGAGGTCGTACACTCTCTACTTTTTTCCTCATACAACATCCAAATATATCTTCAATATATCGATGTTGGGAGATGATAAATCACTCTCTTCGTCGCTCCTCAATGGTTATTTCTTGCATTGGTCGCATGCGTCCCGCATCATTGAAATACATGTAATATTAATCATAAATATATTTTTTAAATTATATTAATAGAAGTATATCCGCAAAAATAAAAAAATTGACCATTATTATCTAGGATCGCCTATTGATAAATGACCCCACGAACAACTCGTAAGAATTTGGGTTATAACCCAATTTATTATGTTGAAAAAAATAGACAAAATAATATGAGATGCAATAAATGTAAAAATTAATTGACAACACAACGGATAATAATATTTACCAAATGATCGGTGTGCTCAATCAAAGAGATGGATCCTTTCGTGTGCTTGGATGGGCCGACACCAGCACCACTCATCTCCGACGTACGGTTCTAAGACTTTGCTCGAGATTGGACCCGAAACTCGTGTATGGCCCGATTCCGATGCCATGGTTTTCACGCTTGCTATTTAACATACGTGGGTCTATTGTTCCCATTCTTCGACTTGTTCGGTGTGTTACTCGTATCGCTTTTGTGCCGGACTCTCCCACACATCTTTAATCGGCTTGTCGATGACCGCATCCCATAAAAATACTTCTACGTAAAGAAAAAAATAATATTAGTATATTTTATATTAAATTAATAATTTAAGTGAAATATAATTAAATAATTAATATGTTATCCTAAACTCATTAAAGTAGAAGTCTTTTATCTCCATAGAGATAAACTTTCATGTGGAGCCAGCAGCGTCCAACCGCTCCTCAAAAATTATAATAATTGTTCTGAAACATTTACTTGATGGAACCAAGTCGTCAAACAAAACTAATAAACCAAAGAGCTTGTAACTCAATGGTAAAGGTCTTTTACAAAAGGTTACGAGTTCAAATTTTAGCAAAGTAGTTCTACTAAGAGCCTTAAGTGTTTGTGTTAGGTGTGTAAGTTATATATATATATATATAAAATAATTAATAAGTGAATTAATGATTTCAATATAATATATGAAAAATAAAAATCTAATAAATTAACAATTAAAACTATATAAAATTAATCAAAATTAACAAATTAACCTAAAAATTAACAAAAAATAACTATTTAACACATTAATCAATAAATTAACAATTAACCAAATCCAACCTAATCAATTAATTAAACCTAAATCAAATCAACCAATTAATAGAAATTAACATAATTAATTAATTAAACCTAAATAAAACTAACAATTAATTAACAAATTAACCTAACAATTAACAAAAAAATAATTTAACAATTAATCAAATTTAACCAAATTAATTAATTAATTAAACCTTAAATCAAATCAACCAATTAATAAAGATTAACCTCGATTAATTAATCAAACTAACAATTAATTAAAAATTAATCTAACAATTAATAAAAAATAACAATTTAACAAATTACTCAACAAATTAACAATTAATCAAATTTAACCTAATTAATCAATTAAACCTAAATCAAATCAATCAATTAATAAAAAATAACCTAATTAATCAATTAAACCTAAATCAAACTAATAATTAATTAACAAATTAATCAATAAAATAACAATTAAAACTATACAAAATTATAAATCAACTAATTAAATTTAAAATTAACCTAACAATTATGAAAAATAACTAACTTTTAAGAAACAAAAGAGAAAGAGAGAATTTACCCAATTCGGACTTGAAGAGAAAGAGGAGAAGGAAGGAAAACATAGGTTTTAGAAAGAAAATAGTTTAAAGTGAGTGTGTGAAGGATCATGCTATCCCGTAGCATGGGCATAACACTCATGAGTCTTGCCGCTTATAATCAAATCTATTTTTGATA